AAATTTTTTCCCCCCCCCCCCCCTACAGAATCCTTATATCCGCCCCTGACTGCTTTAGAGTCGATACTTCAATCAAAAGTAAGGTTTGTATCCTTAATAACCATAAATAATTCCTCCTATTATGGTTCTGGGTAAATTGGAGCAAGTTTGATGAAAACGGCAAACAGCAAAGTTTCTAACTTTGCTTGCATTCAGCAGATTAGTTTACACAGAGCTACAGAGATTGTGATTAGGGGGGGGGGGCACGGTAATCAGAGGTCCTATTAAAAAGTCAGTACGCATTTACTTTGAAACTCCTTTTTATATATATCGTAATTCGTATTATTAACTTTTTTGTTTGTTTATATATTCTTATATATTCTAAATATTAAAGTATAACAGTTTTTTTAGGCTATTTAACGAATTCTTAATAAAAAATAAAAATATCACAGAAAATAAGTCGATGCTTTGTTTCTTGTTAGTTTCACGTGGGGCGGTGCTTATTCATAAATAGCCCTATAGCTATAATAATAGGTTTAGGTAACACCCCCCCCCCCCCTCCCTTCCCAATCTACATCTTGAAAACTTCAGACTTTAAAAAAATGTGGATTAAATGTTCAAATTTTTATTTACCTCTAAATTTTTGTTCAGTTTCCAAAACGACTAAACCGATCAGGACCAATTATTTTTTGTAGTAACTCACATAACCCAAAGGAAGGTCAATGCTTAAATTTTTTTATTTATCTTTATGTTTTGAAATCAGAAATCATCCACAAAATCTTTTCTCGTTTTTATTTCTATTCAAAATATTAAGATAATAGATGACTGCCAAGAATATGTCTAGAAAGATGTGCTTGTAGCGCCCCGTACTATATTATTTTTGATTTTGCAAATACAATTGCGAAATGAAAGTGGGCGGTTTTCTATGATTTATGCAATATATGTTTTATAATTGAAATATGAAAGCCATGTTGAAAGATGAAGAAAATAAGTATATGTCTGGGTGTATGCATGAAAAAGGTAAAATCTGACAGAGATTTAATAAAGGAAATGGAGCCTGTCCGTAACCTGTCCAAAACTGGCCTTTTTGTATTTTTACACAGAGATGAGTAGTCACTTATCATTTTTCATACAACACAATTACATACAAGCTAAAGATAAATGGGGAGGTGGGGGGGGGGGAGGGGGAAGGGGGGGATCTACAACGCAGTATTTTTTCCTTTTCAATCTAATATATTTTCCTTCTCTCTATCCTAACTATACTTTCCTATAGGCTATGACTACATAATTCTATATCCTAACTATACTTTCCTATGACTGTCCATTATTTCTACTGACTATACTTTCCTGTGATTATCCATTCTTTATCTTGATTATCCTTCCTTTCCCTTGAATATCATTCCTTTCTATTAAATATACTTTCTTCATCCTGATTATCCTTCCTTTCCCCTGATTTTCTTCCCTTTCCCATGAATATCCTTCCTTTTAAATATCCTTTCTTTATTCTGACTATCTTTTCTTTATTCTTACTTTCCTTTCTTTCCCCTAGCTGACTAATATCTTTTCTTTCCTTTAAATTATCCTCTCTTTATTTTGACTATCTTTTCTTTATTCTTACTTTCCTTTCTTTCCCCCGACTATTTTTTCTTTCTTTTAAATATCTTTTCTTTATCCAGACTATCCTTTCTTTCCTCTGACTATCTTTTCTCCCCCTGACTATCATTCTTTCCACATAATTATCCTTTCTTTCTCCTAACTATCCTTCCTTTCCCTTGACTATCCTTCCTTTCCCCTGGCTATCCTTCCTTTCCCCTGACTATTCTGACTATCCTTTCTTTCCCTTGACTATCCTTTCTTTTTCTGCCTATCCTTTCTTTCTCCTGACTATCTTTTCTTTTCCCAGACAATCCGTCATTTACCCTGACTATCCTTCCTTTCTCTGACTATCCTTTTATCCCCTGACTATCCTTTCTTTCCCTGACTATCCTTTCTTTCCCCTGATTATCTTTTCTTTCCTTGACTATCCTTTCTTTCCCTGACTATCATTTCTTTACATCATTCCTTTCCTATTACGATCTTTCCTTTCCTGACTACACTTCTTTTCCCCAGACTATCTTTCTTTTCCCCTGACTATCCTTTCTTTCCCTGACTATCCTTTCTTTCCCCTGATTATCATTTCTTTCTCTACTTATCCTTTCTTTCTCTGATCATTCTTTCTTTCCCTGACTATTCTTTCTTTCCTAAACGATCCTTTCTTTCTCCTGGCTATACTTTCTTTCCCTTGAATATTCTTCCTTTCCCATGACTATCCTCCCTTTTTTCTTCTGACTATCCTTCCTTTCCCCTGACTATCCTTTCTTTCCCTGACAATCCCTTCTTTCCCTTGATTATCTTTTCTTTCTCTACCTATCCTTTCTTTCTCTGACTATTCTTTCTTTCCCTGACTATCCTTTCTTTCCTAAACGATCCTTTCTTTCTCCTGGCTATACTTTCTTTCCCTTGAATATTCTTCCTATCCCATGACTATCCTCCCTTTTTCTTAAATTTCTCTTCTTCTTTTACCCAGACTATCGTTCTTTTTCCCTGACTATCCTTACCTTTCTCTGACTATCCTTCCTTTCCCCTGACTATCCTCTCCTTCCCTGACTATCTTTTCTTTCCCCTGATTATTTTTTCTTTCCCTACCTATCCTTTCTTTCTTTCCTTGACTATCCTTTCTTTCCTTAACGATCCTTTCTTTCTCCTGGCTATTCTTTCTTTCCCTTGAATATTCTTCCTTTCCCATGACTATCCTCCTTTTCTCTTAAATTTACTTTCTTCTTTTACCCAGACTATTGTTCTTTTTCCCTGACTATCCTTACTTTTCTCTGACTATCCTTACTTTCCCCTGACTATCTTTTTTTTCTCTTGGCTATCCTTTCTTTCCCTTTAATATTCTTCCTCTCCCATGACTATCCTCCCTTTCTCTTAAATATCCTTTCTTTATCCTGGCTATCATTTCTCTATCCTAATTTTCCTTTCTTTCCCCAGACTATCCTTCCTTTCCCCTGACTATATACTTCCTTTCCCCTGACAATCCTTATTTACCCCTGACTATGCTTACTTTCCACTGACTATCCTTACTTCCCCCTGACTATCCTTCCTGTCTTTTTTCCTGGCTATTCTTTCTTTCCCTTGGATATACTTCCTTTCCCATGACTTTCCTCTCTTTCGCTTAAATATCCTTTATCAATACTGACTATCGCTAGTTTATCCTTATTTTCCTTGTTTCCCCCTGCATTTACTTTCTTTATTCCCGCTTCCTATACTTCTTTATCCTGGCTATCGTTTCTTTATCCTTACTCTCCTTTCTTTCCCCTGCATATACTTTCTTTATCCTTTCTTTCACCAGATTATCCTTCCTTTCTCCTGACTATCCTTTCTTTCCCCTGACTATCCTTTCTTTCCTTGACTATCCTTTATTTCCCCTATCTATCCTTCCTTTCCCATGCCTAACTTTTCTTATCCCGACTATAATTTCTTTTCCTGAATATCCTTTCATTGACTATCCTTTCTTTATCCCCGACTATCCTTTCTTTCTCCAGCCTATTCTTCTGTTACACTTCTTCCTATTCTTCTCATTCCAAACCTATGTTTTCTATTTATGTACATCATTACCAGTTTTTGTTGCATGCTATCAAGGATCTCTAGAAACCTTGAATTAGAACAAATTAACCCTGAAACGAATCTCTGTTCTAGCATTTTTCTTTTTCCATGTGACCATTTTCCGGGAGGCAGCCATTTATATAAATAATCTGGAACAGGTTAGAAGCCGAGATCCGGGCATTCTAAAGTCTGTATTAAATAAAATAAGAATGAATTCGTCCACTCAATTAAAAACAGGAGTTCTCACAAATGTTCAGGCACAAAAGAGTTTTTATAAAACTATTTCGTAATAAAAGGGACTGTAAGCGTAATTTAAATGGAAGGTGACTTGAAATTACGCGTAAAGTCTCATTAAATCAACAGAATTTTTGTATTATAAATAATATGAATCCCATTTAGTAGATTAAGAGACAATTAGCGTATTATATCGTTTCAAAATCCACGATGACCAGAATAATCCGAAATCATCAAAATAACAAATCAACTGTTGCTCGGGAACCAACTTTTTTTTCTCGTGGATTTTTAAATATTTGGACTTTCCAATTGATTATACAAAGTGTTGATTAATAACTTTAAAAAATCTTAAACTTTGAAATTGAAGAGAAATTATTGAAAATCCACGATATTTACTAGGAACCAGGGTTTTTTTTGGCAAAACGCGATAATTAGGTTTATGTTGTACATAGAACCTTGGATAAACCTTGAGGTTTCATGTTGTACATAGAACCTTGGATAAACCTTGAAGTTTCATGTTGTACATAGAACCTTGGATAAACCTTGAGGTTTTTATGTTGTACGAGGAACCGTGGATTTAACCTCGAGGTTCTTGATGTACGAGGAATTCCCGGATTTAACCTCGAGGTCTTATGATGTACGGCGAACCCAGGATTTAACCTCGAGGTTATTGGTGCACAATGAACCCCGGATTTAACCCCGAGGTTTCATGTTGTGCGAGGAGCCCTAGATTTAACTTTCAGGTTTCATTTTGTACGAGGAACCCTAGATTTAACTTTCAGGTTTCATGTTGTGCGAGGAACCCTAGATTTAACTTTTAGGTTTCATTTTGTACGAGTAACCCTGGATTTAACTTTCAGGTTTCATGTTGTACGAGGAACCCTGGATTTAACTTTCAGGTTTAATTTTGTACGAGGAACCCTGGATTTAACTTTCAGGTTTCATTTTGTACGAGGAACCCTGGATTTAACCTCGAGGTTTCATGTTGTTTAAGGAACCCTGGATTTAACTTTCAGGTTTCATTCTGTACGAGGAACCCTAGATTAAACCTCCAGGTTTCATTTTGTACGAGAAACCCTGGATTTAACTTTCAGGTTTCATTTTGTACGAGGAACCCCAGATTTAACCTCCAGGTTTCATTTTGTACGAGGAACCCTAGATTTAACCTCCAGGTTTCATTTTGTACGTGGCACCCTGGATTTAACTTTCAGGTTTCATTTTGTGCGAGGAACCCTAGAAATAACTTTCAGGTTTCACAGTTCCATCCTTTTCTCCCCTTCATGTTTATTCAAAACTAATTTAAAAATTCTTAACATTTCAATCTTTTCTTTTATTTTCATTCCTTTTTTATTGAAGCATTGCCTCTACAAATGTTTTTCCTATTTTTGCATAAATAAAATCTCCAAATTGAAATTAAAGATTAAACATACAAAACAAGGCGAATAGCTCGGAACAATCCTTGGAACAGAAAATAGTTTCAACTGTGAAGGATTAATTATGATTATATTTTTTGGGATTAAAATATTCAAAAGTGTTACAAACCCGCACCTGCTTATACATGCCGTATGCAACGTTTTAAAGCTTTTGCAGATTTTTCTGATTTCAGGTATTTTCAAGAAAATTTGGCCCAAACCCAGTGACCATGCACCGGCCATTTTGGTTAATTCTATTTATTCATATTTACCTTAAATACGGTAGTAGGTGATTATATAAATATAATGAAGTGACTTTCTTTTAAACAGCATGGATATTGTATACACACAAAAGTATGGAAACAAAGAAAAGTTGTCAATTTAAAAAGCTTTGCGACAATTATAACTTAAATTAAAAAGTCGTCTTTACCGTAGAAAAAAAAAAAAAAAAAATTAAAAGCAAACATATCACAAATAAAGTCTAAAGGAACTGAGTTTTTGTCACAAACTCTGATCTTTTATTCGCTATTTCTTTGAAACCCGATGTCGAAGATATTAGATATTTGAAGCTATTCGTATTCTGTTAGATAAAATGAATAGCATAAGATTTACACCTAAAAGTTTCAAAGATATAGAGATTAGAAAAATTGACTTAGTGGTGTAGAATCAATTTCCTTAATCTCAAATTGGCCCCAAATAAGTTTCAAATCAATTCCAACTCGAAGTCCCAAGTCATACCCAAATTGCTCCCAAATAACTCCCAAATGACTCCAAATAATTATTCCCAAAAATTAGTTCCAAATTGGTCCCAAATCAGTCTCAAATTATTACAATAAAATATAATTTCCTGATTCTAAAAAGTGTTCTCTAAACTGCGAATGAATATTTTCATATCATATTACAAGATTTTTAGACTTTCGAGTGGTTTTATAAAATAGATTAAAACTTTAAATTTAAAACGGAAATAGAAATTAAATAATAAAATGCATCCCCCTGCTTCAAACTTAGAAACAGTTCTCTAAAAGTATCTGGAAGCAAGAAAGTTTAATAACATCGGGGGATTTGGAAACCGACAGATGCGGAAACCGATCTCCAACCTAAACACTGTGTTGTTTGTTCTGATTGTAAAATATTTAGCGGTATCTGCACTTTGCAGGGCATGAGAAAATTAAACAACGTCAATAAAATATTTTAAGAGGAGTAACCTTTTTTCTTAAAATGGGAATGCTCGATTCACAGTGGTACCATTTCACATTGAACACACTAAAAGGATATGGTTAATGTAGCGTACTATCCCGAATTGCCTTATTTAGTCTGAATATATACTGTACAATTTACTCTCTAGATGGTCCCAAGATCAGTCCGGTACTTCAAATAAACCTAAGTTTACAATGATTTACACCTTTATCTACGCAACAGTGAGGTAGATATTAACGTTATTTTATCTTAAAAGTATTAAATTCTGTTAATTTTCATCTTTGGATCATCTACAGAAATCCGCAAAGTACTTCTAAAGAAACTGTAATTCAACATTAATAATATCATTTTTGCATTAGACGATGATTTAAAGGATATCAGTGGGAATCGTGTAATGATTGATGGGTTCAATCCACTACAATCTAGATGTAAATCCTAGGGATTTCGAGATAAATCATTTGCTCCCATGGTTAGGGTGTGCACAAATATTTCAATCTGAATTCTCGTACACTAATTGTTCTTTTAAATCCCTTTACAAGCTCTTTCTGTAGATATCTCTCAGAGTATAAATGAATAGGATTTATCAGCTTCATAGTTTTATTTTTTAAGCGGAGGATTAGCCCTAGGTCTGTACTGTTCAAAGATCCTGGTGCACTAATCTCAATCTCCAGGTTCTATATACTGCCACGACCCAGAGAAAGGGGTGAAGAGTTTGGTAGGAGTAACCATGCATCAAATTCTTAAAATACTACAATTGATCATGTCGCCTTTTCTCTGAATATATCAAGGTTCACATGGACATGCCACATGGAATATTTGTTTTCCTTTAAAGCTGTAATAAACTGCACTGATAACAACCTGATTACCGGATAACGCCACAAAGAAATTGAGCCTGCGCCACAAACTCAAATTTTTGAATCCCTACATCTGTGCAACCTGATACACTTGTAAATCTTTGATATGTAAAGCTTAGGTTATTTGATCAATATTCTTAATTGTTTGAAATATCAAAGATCTACGACAATGAGTTGGAAAAAGGGATTAGAAAACCAGAGTTTGTGACAAAGACTTTATTCCTTTGTTTGGAACCTGCCATGGTTTAATGGTGGTTTAATGCTGGCCTGAAGTACACAATTTCGTTTTCAAATGAGTTTTGTTTTTGAATACTAATAAAAGCAAGAGAATCTATGAGGCAGTTTTGTTATTGTTAATAAAACAATGTGTTCTAGGAGTAAATGCCTGCATATGAAAGAAACAGGCTTAAAATTATGACCAGATATAGGGGCGCGAAGCGCCTTTAAAAGCTTTGTTTATACATATTATAAATTGCATATTCTCAGATTTTAACATATTGCAAGTTTAAGAAATTTTTACCAAAATGTACATTTAATTTTAACTTTACATATTATAAGTTTTCTTTTTTACAAATATTCAGTTTTGAGAGTCAAATGCACTTGCTGTAGCATAATGTGCTTGCTTTACTTGCTGTATTTGCTGCTAGTGCTGTACTTCCTGTACTTGATGTAGTTCCTGTAGGTTTAGTTCCTGTACTTGCTGTTGTTCCGTACTTGATGTAGTTCCTTTACTTGATGTAGTTCCTGTACTTGATATAATTCCTGTACTTGATGCAGTTCCTGTGGTTGCTGTAGTTCCTTTGCTTGATATAGTTCCTATAGTTTTAGTTCCTGTACTTTGTGTACTTCTTGTACTTGATGTAGTTCCTATCCTTGCTATAGTTCCTTTACTTGGTGTAGTTCCTGTGCTTTCTGAAGTTCCTTTACTTGATGTAGTTCCTGTACTTGATGTAGTTCCTGTACTTGATGTAGTTCCCGTGCTTGATACAGTTCCTGTACTTGGTATAGTTCCTATACTTGATGTAGTTTCTGCACTTGATGTAGTTGCTGAAGGTGTAGTACCTGTACTTGATTTAGTTACTCTCCTTGGCGTAGTTCCTGTACTTGATGTAATTGCTGTACTCGATGTAGTTGCTAAACTTGAAGTAGTTGCTGTAGGTTTAGTTGCTGTACTTGCTGTACTTTCTGTACTTTCTGTACTCTTCTTATTGTTCAGATCTATTATTCCATCTCACCTCTCTTTGCCGCCTGAATAAAATCAGATTTGAAAATAATATTTTACAAAATTTGAAAGTTACAGAGCTGTTGACAACTAGTTTAGTATTCTAATTTCAGCTGGTTTGTTTTTGTTGTTTTGGCATAGTATTAATTATTAAATGCAAAAATTGAATGGGTAAAATTTAACTATTTTGCCAAATATTTAATTTCGGGATAAGAACTTAACATCTATCCATCTAACTATCTATCTATCTATCTGTCTTTCTATATCTCTATCTATCTATCAATCTTTCTATCTATCTATCTATCTATCTATCTATCTATCTATCTATCTATCTATCTATCTATCTATCTATCTACTATCTATCTATCTATCTATCTATCTATCTATCTATCTATCTATTGTACCTGGAGCTGAACCATATCTGAATGGTCTCTATGTCGAGGTGACACTGGAGTTCTAATCTTCTCTTCATCCTTGAACCTGGATATTTGGACTCATTGTAAACCATCTCTAGGAAACTCCGGGTTACCTAGATATATACTATACAGAAAATAGATAGTTTTAGATGTATAGACTGGAGTAGATAGATACATAAAGGCAGGGGCGTTTATAGAAAAGGGAGGTTGAAGGGTTTAATCAGTTTAAAAAACTTTTCAGGACTCTAAAATAAACATATTGAAAGATAGACCATAAAAGAATAATCTATAAGATTTAATGAGACGGAGAAGAAATTGAACTATAATTATAAAAGAATTTTTAAAGAATTACCTTATCTACTTTAAGTTTACGCAATCTTTTTCTCCTTTGCCCTTCCATACTCACAAATCTAAAAAAATATTTTTAATTTCATCATAAAATGTGAAAAAGGCAAAAACTTCGATGAGTCTTACTAAATGTTTTATAGCACTATAGGGAGTCAAAAATATATAAAATGATCTAATTATTTTAAACTTTTAACACTTATATAACGTACATTGCAAAGTCTAAAATTAAGTTTATTCAGTTAAATGTACAAAATGGAGAAGCTAGACAAAAGATAAGAGTTTTATAGTTCAACTCAAGTGCACTGCGATTTAATGGTCTCACGCTCTCAAGCAAAAATCGTTGAGAATTTTGCCAATTACTTCTAAAAAACCAAATCTAACAAAAAGTGCTTTACAGTGCTAAAATGTACATGTAAAGGGCTACAGAAAAGCATAAGTGAGTTAGAGCGGTAAAATCAAAGCTTAGGGCGTTGCGACACTTCAAAGTCAGCCCTGTCTTAAAAATTGATGAGACTGTTTATAAGGAGGCTGAATCTATGTGAGTGTACACCTAGACAAATCAAATTATTATTGGTTGATTGATTGACTGTTTTTGATTGATTGATTATCCTACTTGTCCTAGGACGGACTGAAAATTCAATTGATGTAATTTGATCAAACAATTAAAAATAGAGATAAATGCGCAATTTTTCAGATTTATCAAAGATTTTTCTGAAAGGACTGAAGAGTAAGCAATCAGGTTATTTAATTAAAAAAGCAGATCTAATTTTCTAATCCTAAAAGTTGCAAAAATCTAAGAATTACACAAGCAAGAGCTTAAAGCAAGCAATAGCAAGCAATTAGTTCCTTAAATAATAATGATTTTAACATAAAAAAGAGTTTTTTATGTCCAATTTTTAAAAGGTTTAAATACCCCTCCTGAAAAAAGCCGCCCCCCCTTCCCCCGATTTTCGCAAAAGTTCGTTATTTAGTTCAACCCCCACCATCACTTTATACCCATACATCTAAACAGTTTGTTTTTAACCTTTTTGACAAAAACAATCTCAAGGAATAATAATTGGCTTAAAACATTTTTTTTTGTGAATATTTGCAAATTATCTTTTTTCCATCTCATAATCTGAGTTAGTTTCCCTTATGTTCATTTGACAGCTCAAATTTTTATTTTGAATAATCTTTTTTGTTTCTTTGTTTTCTTGTAATTTTTAACAAAAAAAAATTAAAATTTTTTTACCGATTTTGATGGTTATTATATCGTTAGAACTGCAACGAGGGTCAACCCAGACCGAAATATATTTTCAATGAATGTGGAATTAACATCTACTTTTTTACTCTACAGAGGTTTGGTCCATCACCATCATCGAATTTTAAATTTACCTGAACCCTGATGGATCCTATAAACTCCTTATAAAGTAAATACTTGAGGTTTGGTCAGAATTGCAACATACATAAATTCTTAGTCTTACCTTTTAATCACAGTTCCTGGTTCTGAGTTATATCTAGCACTCTTTCCAGGGGTTTCATAAGAGTAGTTTTCTCTAGGTACCTCAGTAGTCCGCACTAACTCACATCCAGTAGATACAGGGGTATAGGAGAACTCATGTGGTTGAATCAGGACCGGAGTAGGGTTGAGAATTGTGGGAGCAGACGGAGAAAATAACTCAGAAGAATCAGAACCAAGAGAACCTGAAAAGATTACATAAATTACTTAGTTTTAACCGATTTAAGAATTCATTACAATTCATAACTAAGGAATTTTTTTATTTAAAACAAAGTATTTTTCAAACTTCTTTATAAGAATTGTAAACCTTTATCTTTTATCAAGGTTTTAAAGTGTTTAATTTTGATATTTCATATATGCTTTCCTGCAATAGAAATGCGCAAGTCACCTTTTCACGTTTTCGGGCATTGTCATGTTTGCATGGAGGGAAACTTAAGATTACGCGTACAGTCCCTTTAAATTCACCTAAAGTTATTATAAATGATTATATTTTAAAGATTTAACCTGATTTTATTCTGTTTCTAAATGCTGTTTGGTAGATGGGAGAGCTGAGAGTTTTTAATTCTTTCGAAGGATTTAAAAACTGAGATAAATTTGAGATTTTTGAGAGATTTGAAGAAGAAGAGTTCAAACAAGGACTAGGCATTTTAGAAACATTTGAGATTTTTGAAATTTCAGACAGAGGAGTGGCGTCTGAGTACAGATGGTTCTGGAAGGTTGAGATGGAAGAGTCGGAGAGATTTGATATAGGCGAAAAGGTTGATGAGGGATGGTTGGATAATGTTCCATAACAGGACGGAAAATTTATTATTATAGCTGACTCAAGATAACCTCCTGTTGGCCTCGCAGCAGTGCCTATATTGAATAATATAAAGTAGTAATCTAGTTTACATCCATCTTCCAACATGTTTTGTTTGATATCTTGATTTATCTATATATAAAGTAGTAATCTAGTTTACATCCATCTTCCAACATGTTTTGTTTGATATCTTGATTTATCTATATATAAAGTAGTAATCTAGTGGTAATCTCTGTTTCTTTGTTTGACTTTACCGATTTGGCTCAAATTTTGATTGGGGAACTTTGTGTGTCGAATTTTATGGGGAAAAATAGCTAAAATCGCAATTTAAGACCAAGCGTGGGTAAACGTTGGGAGTTACTATGAGTAACATGGGCAACGCTGGGTTCCCAAGCTAGTATATATTAAGAGTAATAAAATTTATAATGCTTAGAATTATTTGAAAGATTTTTGTCCCATTCTTATAAAAACTTACGTTTGTATTTTGCTAGAGACAAATTTCCGAGATGGTTGGGTATATATTCGTAAGACATGTTGTCTTATACTGAAGAACTGTTTTATCTCAAATATATGATTTCGTCTACATATACAACTCCTCCCTGTACTAGCTAGACATGGGCCCTGGAAAAATTGACTTTTTCTAATTATTAAGAAAAGACAAGCCCTCCCAGCAAGTTTAAGATACATAAAATTTCTATCATAATCTTGGAAATGTGAGATAAAACTTTTAACTCTGATATTCCCGGGCCCAAAACTTTAGTAAATATTTGCTTCATATTAGACTTGTATCAGACATAGGAACTCAGACTTGAAATTTTTAAATTAATGAATAGATTTGTATCTTGAACACACTGAACAGAAATTAAATCCAAGACGAAGCTTGAACAAACTTAGAATTTTTGGTTAAAATAAATTTTCTTGTTTGCTCTAAATTTGTTCATGGAATATCAAGGAAAGAACAAAAATTAAAGAGTCTGTTTATGAAGTTTTGTCTAACGTTTAACTACCAATTTGAGACAATGATACTCCGGTTTCGCGGATTTCAAATTGTAAAGGAATTTTTACCACAGTCTCAGATATTCTAATATCATTATCTTTGAGACCTAATGTCACAGACCTTAGACATTTCAAACTTGTATTTTTTTGTTGGTTTGATCGTATAGCCCAAAAAATGTCGAGGTGGCATACCCTTTGAACGGATCGGGAACGTATTTTTAATAAAAGAAATCCGCGAAATATTTTTGCGTTTTAACTTTTTTCAAAAGTACACTTACGTATTTAAATCAACTACAAAATGCTTTTACTTGATAACGCAATTAGTGCTAATGATAATTTGTTTCGGTTGAAATCATAATAACAGTCCCTTGAAGTGTACATACAATGAACAACTTTAATGTAAGAGATAACGAGTTAAACTATGTTTTATAATTTTTCAGAGCTGGAAACTTTGGAATGGTGGATATCAAGATCAATGCTTGATCCTATTTTTTTCTTAATCTTGTACTTGTATCCTGAAAAGTGTATAAATTCAACCAATCAGAGTTGTATATCAGAAGCCGGGAAATTTGAAATTTTGCCCGTTATTTAAAATTAACATTTAGAAACGGGAGTAGGGTTTCCACGAAACAGTCAGTTCTCTTGTGCAAAAGTGGTTTTGCACGAAATTCCGCATCATTTTCGTATCAATACCAAACAAATTTTGCATGGAATTGCGTATTTATTCGAAATAAATAAATTTTTCTTGCACGAAATTTTTCATTAATACGAAATTTAAGAATTTGTTCATGATATTTGCATGAATACAGGTCGTTTTTGCAATATCATAATAAGTGGCAGATCTGATAGTGAAAATATCTAAAAATACTTAATAAACCCCCTTTCCCTCTCCCAGGAATTCATGAATTGCTAAATTGCAAAACAGGGTGGACTTCTTGCCACCCCCTTGTAGGGCAAGCCTTCTTAAGGGAGGGGCATGCCCCCCTTAATCCAGATTGCAAAACAGGGTATTCTTGCCTCCCCCCCTACTGGGGGGGCAAGCCTTCTTAAGGGAGGGGCATGCCTACCCCCCTAGTTGCACGCCTGACCAGACTGATGATTAGCAAATGTGAAAATGATTAATTAATTCTTGAGTAACTTAGTTACTACTTGAGATTGATTGCCGGTGTAATAGTCGGTACGTAAGCAAATCTTTGCGCAATTTTTGCACGATTTTCATGCAAAAATTTTTGACTGGAAACCTTAAATGGGAGGGACTCTCTTGGTAACTTTAATAATTTATTTTATTTAAATTTTACAATATTTTAAAATATTTGTATGATATCAGATAGAAATATTTTGAGATTTTTATATTTCTTGTTATTCATTTTTTTCTTGTTGGTTCATTCTTCAATCTTACTTCGGCTAATTTTGAAAAGAAAAAGAAAAGATTTTTTTAAATGTCCTTGTAGTTTGCCATGTTAACAAGTAAGAACTATTTTTAAAAGATCTTGTTTTTTCTGAGCCCTGTATCTTTTTGAATCGAATCTTTTTTTATCTGATCATCACCTGTTTTCTGTTTTTCTTTTTTAGATCTATGCATTGTAGACAAGGGATAAAAAAATTTAAAAAAATAAAAGGAATGTCTTGCCTCAATAATTCTTACATAGGGTGCAGTCTCAGTGGCAATTAAATAAACTGTTCTAGGGTTTCTACGTAGAGTAGAATAATTCTAGAAGAGGGGGGGGGGATAGCATATCCTACCCTTCCCTAATGTTGTCTATATTTGCTGTTGGAAAATATGATAGTGTACAGCTAATACCCGAGATTCCCTTCAATTTTTCCTTTTCCTGTTTGATTTTCTGTATTCCTCTTGTTTATTATTTCTATGCTTTGAGATCTTACCAAAGAGTTCTTGTGACATCAAGTTGTAGAGCAGCTAGGAGAGAGATAAGGAGGAAGGGTGTAGGGGAATGCTCCCTGTGTTCCTTAAATTATACTCTTTCTGGATTAAGAGGAATTTTAAGGAAACTCCTTAACTCCACCCCTTTTGCAAAATGGGGATTTGTAAGCCCTGAAGCCCCCTTGAGAGGAATCTTCCATAGTAGTTCAGTCCTCACAGCTGGTCAAGTAAAAAACGGTATTGTTGTGCATGGCTTGTACTCTCATCATGGGTTAAACTCCTTTTTTCAGCTGCATGTATTAATCTATGTACATTCCATGCCCCTCTGTAGGATACAAGGTTTGGATCTAAACACAGTGCTTCCCCAGACTGTAATTCTGGGACCGCATAAGATAGGTCCCCTCTCTTCGGAAAAAGTCAGGCACCTGGGGAGGGAACTCTCTAATTTTGAAAAACTTGTTTTTGATTTTTCTGTACTATATATCCAAAAAAAGAGGGGATTAAGAAAGAAATTAATAGTGTCTACATTGGATATTCGGATAAAGCAGTCGGATATAAAGGTATCCCATTCCAAAGTTCCCAGCTCAGAGAATTTTAGCAGAGCCTAAAACTTTGGTTTGAAGTATCCTCGTCATGGGAATTTTTGTGTTGTGTACATTTAGTCCCGATCTCTTGATCTCGATATCCATTGGTGAGACGTTTAGAGGATCAATGCATGATCTCTTCATTTTAGTTATTTTACAGAGTACTACCACTGGATATCGAAAAAAGATCTGTAGATTAACTAAAGATCAGGATCAATCATTGATTTTGATCTCCACAATACACGAGTTCCCACCTCTGATCTCCACAATACACGAGTTCCCACCTCTGATCTCCACAATACACAAGTTCCCACCTCTGATCTCCACAATACACAAGTTCCCACCTCTGGATTTCCACAATACACGAGTTCCCACCTCTGATCTCCACTTTACACAATTTCCCACCTCTGATCTCCACAATACACAAGTTCCCACCTCTGATCTCCACAATACACGAGTTCCCACCTCTGGATCTCCACAATACACGAGTTCCCACCTCTGATCTCAACTTTACACCACCTCTGATCTCAACTTTACACAAGTTCCCACCTCTGATCTCCACAATACACGAGTTCCCACCTCTGATCTCCATAATACACAAGTTCCCACCTCTGGATCTCCACAATACACGAGTTCCCACCTCTGATCTCCACAATACACTAGTTCCCACCTCTGATCTCCACAATACACTAGTTCCCACCTCTGATCTCCACAATACACGAGTTCCCACCTCTGATCTCCACAATACACGAGTTCCCACCTCTGATCTCCACAATACACGAGTTCCCACCTCTGATATCCACAATACACGAGTTCCCACCTCTGGATTATTCTCTTTGGGTGTAAGCTATCAATATGGATCGTTACCAAGTTTACTAGTATTTTATTGTTTTTGTAAAAGTAAAAAAAGATTTCCGGAATACCTCAACTTCTTATTTTTGATCAAAATAGAATTCTATGTGATGAAAATTTCAATTTTAACAGACATATTTCATATATATATATATATATATATATATACATATATAAATTTATTGGTAAAACAATGACAAACACTGTAAACAACCAAACAGCTGATAATACAAAATAATGATAATAAAGTATTAAAAAATCCTAATAATAGTAATACAAATCAAAGTAATCATGAAAATGAGATGAAGACGAAGAATAATATAAAGACAAATAAGATTTATATGCAAATTCAAAGACCATAAAAAAAATTTGAAAAGCTGAGGTTATAATAAACAGCCCTAAAAATTGCTTTAATACTTTTTTTTTGACGTTTTTAATAAGTTTTTGTGCTCTAGCTCATTCAATTTTAGATTTGGTCAAAAATCGTTTTCAAATTTGAATTCAGCATAAAATTTGCAAGATTGTAACGTGTTGTTTCGTGTTGTAACGTGCTGTAACGTGTTTTTGCGTGTTGTAACGTTTTCTTTTTTAAAATATCTTTTTGGGAGCGTATGATTTCTCCGATATGAAATTGTCGGATCAGTGTATGGACGATTATTCTAGTTAAAAAGAACGCACAATTTTAGCTAACACAGGCAAAAAACATTAAAAATAAACTATAGCATTTTGATCTTTTAAAGCCTGTTTAGTAAAATAATATTTTTGCATTTTTATAAATAAATAATATTATATTGACGCAAAAAAAGGAATCTCAAAGTGTTTAAAATTTATGATCTAAAATACATCCAGCTTTTATATCTACAGTGAATCCCTTAAAAACGAATACATCGAAAGAATTCATCAAATGTCGTATTCTTCACTTTCTGATAATGGAATGTTGCAAATATTTAGTGTTTTAATTAAATGATTATATGAAATTCTTTAAAACTGTTCCCGCATATTCATGACTATTTATATATTTTCGCAAATACTGAAATTTACGTAATATAGTATAAAACTTATTGAAAATTTGGCAAGACAACATTTGATAAATTCTTTCGATGTATTCGTTATTAAGGGTTTCACTGTATGTCAAGTCAGGTTACACAAGAAAACCTTTTCAAAAATACCCGAATTATTAGTTTATTACAAATAAAATTATACTTCAAAAATGAAGATCAGAACCAAAAATATTGTGTGATAAAATTTATTTTTTTCTTCTACGCAAAAATTATCAAGGTTTTGCGCATATTTTTTTTTATCTTTTTATGTAATTTTAATTGTCTGTTCTGTATACTATCTTATCTTCTAATTAACATTTAGGTTCGCAATAATGCCAAAAGTACAGAAATTTACGCAAAAATTTAATTAATTTCTATTATGGGATTTTGAAAAAATTTCTTTGATTGATCTTCAACATTTATAAACAATACAAAGGGGTGT